TCCTGTATTGGGGTATGTATATAATGAGTTGAAACACTAACATTATTAGTGTCATACAATGTTAGTATTAAAGAAAGACAAACAAAAAAAAGAGTTCTTTGCCCAAAGAAAAAAAAAATGAGTTCACGGGCATATCAAACAAAGTGTCGGCGTGACCGTGAAAACTTCAAAGGAACTATTTTAACAAACAAAAAAACTTCGAAGGAATTATTAGTATGTAAATATAAGTAAAATTTACAATGATATTTGTTGAAAAAAAATTACAATGATATTTATTTAAGTAATCTATAGTTTAATTATATGATTGTGAATGCTAGCCGCCTGGAGCTAATTTACTTTCCTTATTAATTAGTTTGAAACTACACTTTTAAAATAACATCCCGTCTCAGATATATTCTAAAGACTGAATTATTTACTTGTTAAATAATTGACTTGATGTTGTGTTTGTTGAATCATAGAATCTTCGCCGGTGATCCTTCTTAATAAGTATTAAATTGTTTTTCTTTGTTCGTTTGCATTTATTTATATATCTGTGATTTTATAATCGTATAACTTTATTGTTTTAGTCAAAAGTTATTTCTATTCCATACGCGAAACAAGTGAACAACCAAAAAAAGAAACAATGCGTTGCGTTTAGAATTCGTAAAACAATTTTTGCTTGATTAATATATAGCGTAAACGGAAAATTTTCTAATTTGTATACGAAAGAATCGAAGTTATAATCGATGTAAACCTTGGCAACACCCCGAATGAGCTTTAAAAAAGAAACACTAAGATTAGAAGGAAGTAGTTTGGAACAACAACATGCATGAGAGTGTCTTTGAATTCGGGACTAGATAAAATATTGTCTTATTGGTCACGATTATATATCGAATTTTAGGAACTATATATAAATTGTCATTGCTGAAGAAAAAAACTAGGAATATTGAGTGCAAACATGTTAATATATTATAGGGATTTGTGTTGAATTTTAATAAGAAATATACAACACAGATTACAGCATATAATTCTCAAATTGTTATTCTTACAGCAACGTGAAAATTTAAAAAGCTGCTAGAGTTCTCATGGAAATATGTCTACCTTAGTGTTTACCGTTTACGCCAAGCCTTAATTAGAGTACGCATTGCTTTTCATACATGCCGTAAAACTAGAAACGGCGACGTTTCGCTTACCGTTAGATTCTTCGTCGCCTTCAAACATATACCTTAGTTTTAAAGATTCTATCAAAGTCAAAAAATAAAATAAGCCAACAAAATATATTAAAAAGGGAATTAGATAAACGTTTCTCCAAACAGTAGGTTATACTGATCAAGAATTTACTCATGACGACCAGATATTTTTTCAAACTTTCGAATAATTGTTTCATTAAAACTTTGCCAAGAAACCCGTGACAAAATCTACTTCGAACTCATTAACTTCGAATAAATATACATTAGTAGGTTTCCTGAAAAATCATTTTGTTCTAATCTGCATCTAAAAATTAGATCATAGTATAATTTTGATCTAATGGTTGGCCTAGCTAGTGAGTGAGAAGTTTATATTTATTATATATAGAGGCTTTGATTTAAAGCATGCAATAGATTGCCAAACTATATGGCCTAGCTAGCTAGCAGTCTTGTATTCTTAAACCTTAATTAAAATCCAGATATACAACTATTGGATCACTGATTCAACCTTTAGGATTATCCGTTCGAGACGTTTATCATATGTTAGATCATCCAAATTTGTGAATAGTTAAGTTCGTCCAGTAAAATTTAGTATGTAATTATGTAAAGAAGTAAAAGGAATGTGATAGATGAAAAAAAAAGTGTTAACTTGTTTATTAAAAAAAATGGAGTGAAAAAAGCAGCCCTTTGTCGAAGCTTTTCTTAATAGGAAAAAGAAAAATTGACTAAGCAAATAATTGAAGAAGAAACTGCTTCGGAAACTTCTCTGTTAGATGCGAACTATCTGGGTCAATTTTGATACGGAAGATCTTACAATTCAATATTAGATGCGAGTTCTCAATAAATCACTTTTATTTGTCTTTACTTGGACAACCATATGATTGCTTCATACATATAAAATTATTCGAATATTTAAAAAATACACGTCTGTATGAATTTGATGCGAGATATTTTATGGATCATGGCATTTATAGAACAACAGACATTTATATTTCAGACAGCTAATTGGTCTATGATCTGGGCACATGCACGTAATAAGACACAAGACAATCTGAAAAAAAGTTGCATAAAACTAATGTTATTCACTGGAATACTATATATTTATACATTTCCTCTATTTAACCTAGACATAAATTAAAAAATATATAGCATACCCATATGTATAGTTAGACATATCTAAGTTATGGTATTAAAATATATACTCTTGTGCTGGCATGCATGCAATGTGATTAAATAAATTGACGAACTTTACCGTATAATGTTATAGAAAAATATATTTAAATATATAAACCTTTTACAAAAATATAGACAAAACTAATTTTAGTCATGGATGAAAGAGAACGGTTTTTGGTAAAAAGATGATCTTAAATGCTACAAGGAGTACATTTGGTTGGAAACAAAAGAAAAAAAGTTATGTAACTGCCTAAAATAGAGAAAGCTTAAATTGTACTTGTTTTGTTGTGTTTTTACTCAAACTCACGATTGCAATGACAAAGTTACACAATCACAATTGCGATGATCAGAACCAATTTGGTATAGTCATACAATACAACAAGCATAATAATCACTCTCAGTATTCAGAAAGTATTCCTAGCTAGATCATCCAAATTCTAGAAGTATGGTAATGACAAAACCCTTCAAAGTGAAACTCCCACCAATGTATATCAACAGGTACATATAGGTTGTCCAATCTTCAATCTTTAATCTTGTGTCTTATAATAAGACTCTTATCTTGGAGTAGATGAACAAGTACTTGACAATCCCCTTCAAAGCATACCCTCAGGCCGTCACGCTATTGCGGTGTTATATATTTAGAAGAAAGAAAAAAAAACAAATCTTAATAAGCGAAAGGGCTTAATAATTTGCAGAAAATCTCACACAATAGAAATGGTTTCCAACAAATTTGGCCGTAAGTGAATTTAACTACCCATCACCAGCCCACTATATATGCCTTGGAGAAACATGACCTCGTTGCCAAAAACAAAAACATGATTATGACTTGTTGTAATTATGTTAAACGACTAATTAGATTAACGAGAATAAGAACCTTCTATTCGATTAGTCCCTTTTACCCTCTGTTTATGTCGTCATCCTCACTTACAGGGTGATGCAAATAGCCAAATACTATATTATAAGAATTAAGAATATATATATGGTTGGATCATAAAAGTATGCATGTCGTCACGTTGTGATCGTCAGAAGATTAATATTTTTTTAATAAAATGACCAATTCCATACTCTCGTAACTCGTAAGCCACATTTTAATTTGGCCTATGACCCTTCGGGGTTTGTTCACGATAACCCTTTTCATTCATTTAAAATACCACGTTTCTAACAAATTGGTATTTTATATAACATTTTACGGACTCTTTTTTTTTGATAACCCAGTATCCAGACCACATAGTGATCTGACTAGCCCACTGGGCCTAAGCTCGCGTCACAGGAATTTTTAAGCCTCCACTTAAGGGCCCCCTGATAAACTGGTGGTCTGGGGCGCCTGAGCAAGTCCGCAGGTAAATTCCCAGGTGGCCACATGAGTGAGAGAACGAAACTGCGTCTGGGGAGGATCGATCCCTGGCCTAGACCAACAGGGCGATCCTTCCAACCAAACGAGAACCACTCGCCCACCACCATGTGGTTATTACGGACTCTTTTGTATCCCAAATCTTTATAAATCTTGAATGTTTAATAAGTCTTTAAGATTCTGCTGTCACTTTGCTTCAGAAAACATATTAGTATACACTTGACTTTGTGAAATATTATTGCTTTCATACGTTATTGCAAAGATAACTTATAGTATTAAACCGTGATTTGTAGTTAACTGATTAAAAATGTACAGATTTGAGTTTGGTTTATCTGTCCCGACTCCCGAGTCTCTTTTTCTTCAACAAGTTTTTTTTTCTTTGACCAAAAAACTGCATGGACCAAAAAACCAGTCCAAAACATAATGGTTCAATTTTTAGTTTCTTAATTAGTTGCAAACTTGCAAATCGTTTAAGAAATCATTTTTTTTTTGTTATAGGAAAGTAAATAAAATATCATTTATTATCTATTTGAAAACATTTCAAGCAATATAAAACAATCCGCATAATATATATGTTCATAAAACAAAAAAAAAATACTTAATTTTGCTTAGAAATTTGAAAACATCAAATAAATTGAAACCAAAAAAAATTCATATTAATCAGAATTCGGATGGAGTATGTGATAATCACATTCTAATTCTGATAATATCTGGAAAAAAAAACAAATTCTGAACCAAATATGGAAAAATTTATTTGACTCGAGAATACTGTTAGATTGGTAAAATTTGTGTTAATAGGAAAACGAATGATGTCGGATTTGTAAGTAAGTGATGAAAAAAAAAAAAATTAATAATGACATAACAGAGATTTTGGTTAGATAAAATAGATGATTCGGTACCATTAAAAAATGATGCTAATGATGAATGTAAATTAAATTAATCATATTAATAATTAATTATTACGTCACTCTATTCATCACCAAACATAATCATACTGGAAAGTACTAATTAAGAGCCAGCGCAACATAATACATCTGTTATGTAAAAACCCTTAATTAAGGCTTAGGCTAAATCATAACAACACATATTTAAAGAAAGGTAATTAGCAATCACATTTTGTATTTACACAAACAACACAATATTTACAGGTAAAAAATCCCCTCAACAAAAAAATTTAAATTAAAGAAAAGAAAAAAGAGAAAAAGATTGACCCTGGGAAGACTTGAAAGGTTTAGCCCAGATTCAGATTCAGATGAGAGAAAAAAATTCCGAAATTAATAAATCACGAATTTTCAAATCACAAAACCCAATGAATAATTACATATTAATTTTGTACAAAAAAACCTTAAAATCAAATAGTTGCCGCCATCTTGGAATTGGATTTAGCCTTGGAAGAGTGTCGCCGGCGATACTCTTTGTTATTTCCCGACGGCTCCACCACATCCGCCGCGAATCTCACCTTTTTCTTCATCACCATTTTTTTCTGCGCTCCTGTCACATAAAAACAACAATTTTCCCCATCTTTTTCAATTTTCATAATCAAAATAAAATAAAATAAAATAGAAAAGAATGGATGGAGAAGAAATTGGGACGTACGGATTTCGAAATCGAACTTGTCCATGTAATCGGAGAGAAGACGCTTATGAAATTGACTCGCTAAGAACACAACGCTTCCCGAGACGGCGAAAACCGCCATGAAACCTAATGAACTCTCCATAAATATCTCTCTAGGGTTTAAATTTCTTCTGTAATTAATGGAATCGGGGATCGATCTGTGATTCTCCGTCTAATAATCAATAGGAAAGAGAGATGAAGAAGGTTTTGGTGGGATCAGGGGACATGATCGGAGAAGAGAGACGGAGAAGGAGAGAGGAGGACAGAAACGGAAGAAGCATTGCAAAAAAAAAAAAAAAACCAGAATTACAGAGAGGATTTGAGAAAGATGAAGGTTTTTTATTTATATACACACAGCCTTTAAAAAAAAACTAAAAAAAATCAATTTTAAGTATTTTTTTTCTTATTTGGTCAACAAACAAACAACTCGATTATATTCAATTTTTGATTTAATCGATGCGTCATAAATAAATTAATATACTACATTTTTTTTTTTTTGTAAGCCTCACCAGACACCACCACCTCTTTCCTCTTGTTTGTTTTTTGTCTAAATACAAGAATAATTTGAACTTCTCTCTCACTTTTTGTTTTTGCTTTTTTTTTTTTTGAACAAATATTTTTTGATAAACTTTTTGTTTTTGCTATGTTCTAAATTATGTTACCAAATTTTGATTCTTTTGATTGAATCAGATTCAGATTTTTTTTTTAAATCTATAAAATATTTGTGTTGTTAGATAAATGACAATCCATTTTTATTATATACAAATATATTTATTTTTAATAGATAGTTGAAACAACTATAAAAAATATATGAAACATGATTCCTGATAATTTTAGAGTACGTTTTTTTTTTTAATTCAATACCAGACAATATATATATATTTGAATCTGGATATAAAAATTAGCACCCACCAGTATACTACAAATTATTGGTCAATCTGGAAATGATTTGAATTCGGAAATTGTAAAATTCGTATTTTTCAAAGTTAATCCTACATCTAGCACATAATTTTATTATTCTATTGGTCAACAATCAAAAGTAAGACACTTTCAAAGTTATAATTTTCTTCAAAAAAGTTTCCAAACTATATAATATTTAAACACAGTACACAGAGTTAGGTCTTTCTCTAAACTTTTGATATCTTTTGCATTTCTTTCCTTTAAATTGAGATAAGGCGGAAATCTTCAAAAACTAGATTTTTCCATGGTATATTACTATTATCTTTTTGGTTTTATTTCTACCATTAACTTGCTTTTTTTTTGTCACATTGGTGATATTTATTTGGAAACACCAAAACTTTTTTAGCCAGAATCCTGTAAACAAAAATGAGATATACAATAAGTCCTATAACTGCCAAGACTTATATAGAATGATATAATTTCATATTTGTCCAATGAGTGAAAGTTAGGAAGTGTGCTTTCAATATCAATTTCATAGGATAACATAAAAATAATGAGAGATGAGGACTATATAAAAGCCAAGATAAAGATATGGTTGGTTTTGAGATGTGGTTCCAACAACCTCTACTACGGGTTTGCTGACAGGTGGTGGGTTCGGTCTGATTCTTTCCTTTTTCTTTTTTGAAACTTGTCAGTTTGGGGAAAATTTATGAACCAGAGAAAATCAAATATATGAACCAGACCAAAAAAGATTCAAAACATTATAATGTCATCCAAATTATATATGACCAAAAACATGATTGGAATCATTCGATATATCTATCATTCAAACCAATTCTGTATGATGGTTTGGTTGTTTGGAATAGTTGTAATAGTTTCATGTGTTTTTTTTTTCTTCAGTTCGAAAGTTTATATAGTCTATACTCTATAGATAAATTAAAAATATTGAATTAATTTTTTTTTAGTGCAAATGAATTAAACTACTATGAATGGGTTTTATTTTTTTGTCGACTAGGTGAACTGGTTTAAGTCTAATGTTCTGGTTTGGTATATATTGCATCGGTTCATCACATTCACAAACTAATGACCTAATGAGCGATTCTATATATAATAATTGCATCACTCAGAATTTTATTTTTACATTAGGAAATGGTTTTTTTTTTTTTTTTTTTTTTTTTATTGTTAAAGATAGCTGGTCGGTCCGTCGCGATCCATCAAAATAAATGCCCATCGCGAGCTGACCAAGATGGACACGGGCCTGTTTGACACCTTTAAAGAGAAAGATGAACAATCAAACATTAGGAAATGGTTAAAATTAAGAAGAGGCGGTGGCTCGGATGTAGAAAGAGGCCGAGGCCTTCTCTAATTTACTCGAAGCTATTTTTTTGCGCAACTTTCCTTAGCTCATCTCGGCGATTCTAGGGTTTCTTAGTCTTATTTTGTTCAGCGATTGCTTCAATTTCACGTTTTTGGACTGCCATTGAATCGGCCAACATTGGGTGTATATAAACATAATTAGTTCCTAACTTGATTAGGAAACAATAACTGTTTCTTTTGTGAATAAGGCACGTAAAGGGGCATAAGCCCATTAGTAATTCCTCATGTGTTAGGGAGTATATAAGTAGAATGGATCATCTTAAGTATTGGAGAATATCTGTTGACAATAATTCTTTTTTTTTTTTGACGAAACAAAAACCCTAAACGGAAGAAGTCCCTTTCTTACGATGCAAGGAACAAAATCTCTGGTTTGTACACAGAGAGAAACGTCAGTTGTTCAGCTCCGAAAGAGGCAAGATTGGAAGGAAAATACTGGTCTGGGAATCACCAAACAGGGACTAGGAGCAGAGACAAATATACAAAGGAGGAAGAAACCAGACAAATCTCAAGCTACAATTTCTCAAAATAGTGAAAAAGTGTCCAATGTTATTGGTGATTCTTCTGAACCAAGCAATTCATTGGCTGCTATCAGTTCTTCCAACATTGGGTTTCAGCTCCTAAAGAAGCAGGGCTGGAAAGAAGGTACTGGTCTTGGAATCGCTGAACAAGGTATATTGGAGCCTCTACAAGCAGAGCCAAAACTTAACAAACAAGGACTTGGATCTGAAAAACCAGCTAAGAGAAAAGCGGCACAGCCTCAGAATACAGCTTCTGAAGAAGTATCAAAGAAGAGCAAGAAACTTTCTAAGAAATTGCGGAAGATGATCGAGCACGAAAAACGTTTAGCGGAAAACAAATTTGAACGAGCCTTCCGCAGGGAGTTCTGGCCTGATAATGTATAACTAGGTTTTCTCGTTTTGTTCTTATGGACCCTAGATATTCCAAAAGCTTATGTATATACAGCATAATCTTTAAAACTCTGTTTCCTATTGCCTAGTTCTATGAAGAAAATAGTTATAGACAAAAAATGAAAATTAAAAAAAAAACAATTATAAGGTAGGAGAATATTGTTTATAGAAAAATATAAGAGGCCTATATATATTCATTCCTATTGATCATTACCAAACTTGTAAAGCTATAACAAAGAAACAAGTTATGTAGTAATCTAAATTTATGTAGTAATCTAAGTTTAGAGTTAAAAACATTTAAGATAGCATAATGTACAACAAGGGGTCCATAGCTCAGTGGTAGAGCATTTGACTGCAGATCAAGAGGTCACCGGTTCGAACCCGGTTGGGCCCTCATTTTTTATTTTTATTTTCATTTTCCCATACCATAGACCTCTGCCAAATCTCAAATTATATCATTCTTTAAAAATTATCAAAAAAGTTCAAAACTTATAATGCCTATATGGGGAAAGGGAAGAGAAATCTTGAAGAATGTTGATATACCAATTCACTCATGAGAAAGAGAAGAACAGTCTCCAAAATATTCAGAGAATCCAAGAACTGTTATCATCTTTAACCTTTGATTCCTCTGACCATATCTGTTTCACCTTCTCCCACACCAAATCTCCTCCCTGCAGATTTCATTTAAGTTTCATTCAATTTAAGATACTTAATCGAGCTAATCTTCGAGAATCTGATCATACCTTTGAAGTGAATTCGACAGTCGTTTTGCAGCATTTACGTTCATCCTCTGCCAAATGTAACAAACAATCAAATGTTATATATAAATCTTAGGACTTGCTCATATTAGTCATCAAAGATCATATCGTAAATATTGGCGTTGTTTTTACCGCATTGCTCCCACTTATCAAACTTCACTATCCATTTGCCAGGAATGGTGTCTGTTACCAAAACCTGATCTATCCAAACCCAAAACTTCTTCTCTCTTTTGTCACCATAACACTTCTTCAACTCATCAATGGTGTCTCTCAGAGATTTCTCTGCACCTGATGGATGAAAAAGGACAGCAGCATGGAGCTGAAAATGTTCCAAGAAAGAGGAATTAGTCCGGTGGAGACATAAAAGATGGATTCTATTTGCATCTAAGTTACTCACACATGACTCTTTGAAGCTGGCTATGTATGTCTCATAGTTCTTGATCTCACCGCGTCTCAATCTCTCATAGAACAAGTAGAATCTCACAACCTCGTGACCAGGATTCGCATTGTCCGTCTTACGATCCAAGAATTCTGAAACATCTCTTGGAGAAAGATTTGGGCCAAGATTAAAATGACCAATGGCTTGAATAATCCCATCCGCACACCTCTCGGTTGAATGTATAACCTTTAGGTTGTTTAAAGCATTTTCAGAACGCCACTTCAATAGCTCTTCTTGGGAATTGCTCACCTTCACAAAGCGCACAGACAAACTAGTCAGTTTTTTGGTAAGAATGGTGAGATTGTGATGATTGAACATTATTACCATAACACCGTGAACATCGGGAATGCTAAATAGTTCAGCATCATGTTCAGAGTCACCGCAAGCCAGAGTATTGACCGGGAATATTCCTTCAGCCTGAAGCTTCTTGAGAAGATACTCAAGGGCTTCTCCTTTTCCGGCACCTCGCGGTATAACATCCACATTCTTTCCCCAACTGTAAATTATCTTGACATCCAACTGAAAAGATAAAGAACATTACCAACATCACAAACAATTTTGGTTTCAAGAAACAAAGATCCCACAAAAAGATAATAAGTAAACACTTAACGCCACGTTTCTCCAGCAATTGTGATAGTTCCTTGGTCAATGCCTCACCTTTACCTTCATCAATGTAAAAGCTGACCTTGTGTAGCCTCTGCTCAGTTTTTGGCTGAAGAGTTAACTCAGGGAACTTGCTAGTTTCTTCCAAGACTATTTCCCGGTTCCATTTATCGCTGTTCAAGGATTCAACCCAATCATGATCAGCAACCATGGAGTTACCAAATGCTATCTCGGTTCCTATTGATGTAATGATGATATCAGGAGTCAACAAAGGTTTCTCTTTTCTCAATTCTTTGTAAAGAATCGGTGATCTTGCAGTAGAGAATACAAGAAGAGAGTCACGGCGATAAGCGTATTCCCACAATGAATTGAACCTGAGAAGAGAGAGATTCTCATGATCTTGATGATCAACCTGCCAAACATGAATCACATCAAGAAACCTTTTTTCTAAAAATGCAAACAAAGAAAGAGTTACAGAATCAACTCCTACCATGGTATGATCAAGGTCTGAGACGATCATGAGAGGAGGATGAGAAATCAGCCGCTCCATGGTTAGTCCTGTAAATGGGCACAGAGGCAAATTCATTATTTGAATGAAATCACTATTGTTGCTATATTGAGACTAATGGTTTCAAGAGAATTTTGGCATATGGGTTTTGTTCTTAACAGTCAAACAATTGGTAAAGAGAGCAAAACAAGAGTAGAGAAGGAGCAGAACAAGATTCAATCTTTAACTTAGGACAAATGCAGATTCTATAAGTAGAGATAAATGTCTAAACCCAGTTCCTTCAATAACAGATTAAAAAAAACGATTTTGATACCAATTCCAAGTATCAAACGACATGAACATCTCATCAAAATGTTTATACAGAGAATTATATAAGTGAGAAGAATCACAAAACCTTGTGTAAATCGCTTCTTCTGCAAGTTGAGAGAGAGAAAGAAAAACGTTTTCTCTTTTTTTTTTTTCTGAAGAAGAAGAAGAATAAGACTCACACACACTATTCCGCGTGTTGGACGTATAGCGATAGTTCAAGGACCACGTAGTTAATGCCGCCCCATCCACCCATAAAGCGAAGATCAACGGTCAGGATCTTTCAAGCATTAAAAGAGGAAAGAATATTTGTTTCTCTATTGTTCGTTTCTGTTAGTTCAGAGTATCTGCAATAGAAAAAAAGATTGGTCTTTTCAGTTTCACCTCCCAAAGTCAAAAAATTGCCATAACTTTTTCTTTTAATAGACAAAGTTTGGAACTTTAGGTTTCTTTAAAGATAATGAATATTTTGAGGTCTTGATAATTGAGTCTTAAACTTTTAGGGACTAATTAATACAATACCCTTGAGAATATGTGGACACGATTGAAAGTTGATAATTTGAAGTGTATTAACATAACTATAACAAGCTTAAAGAATAAATAGATTTCTAAATAGAAAAGAAAAAGAAAGAATATGAAATTCATGAATTATATATAACATAAGTACAATGGCCCATAACAATTATTTTGGGCCGAGTAGCATAAATTTAGATTGTTTGCATGTTTTTCAAACCGAGCCAAACCCTAAGCAAGCTTTTTATATAATGCAAAAGCACACTACCTTGAATTGTTTCTCCTTTTTCTTGTTAATAGGAAACTAGGGCATAATATCCTCAACTCTTTGCATCATCAAGTAATCTCATTCTTTAGGTTTTGGAGATACAACTCTGTGAACAACTATGGGGTCGTCGTCTTCGAGTGTTGCCATCGTAAAAGATTTGAGGCAAAGAAAAAAAGAAAATAAGATACATTAACATAGGTTTTGGAAACAAATCTCTGTGAACAAAACAACTATGATTTCGTCTTTGAGTCTTGCCGTGAGGAAAAAGCAAAAGAAGGAGAGAATAATGGTCTTACCCGAACTCTATGAGGACTTGTTGATCGAGATTCTGATCAGATTACCGATGAAATCTTTGCTGAGATTTAAGTGCGTCTCAAAGCGCTGGCTTTCCATGATCACAACTCGATACTTGACCAACCTTTTCTATAAATCTTGCTCATCACGTCGAAGTTTGTTCGCTTATTTAGTAATTAGGGAAAAACAGAGCAATTATGCGCTGCTCACAACATTATCGAGTCATGATGATCACTCTGTCTCTGTAATCGACCAAGATCTAACCATGCCGATAATGGGAGGCTACTTCTTGAACGCTTGTCGTGGCTTGGTGTGTTTCACAGTTGGGTCAAGAGTGCAAATTTGTAACCTTAACACAAGGCAGATTGTGGACTTGCCGATTATTCAAACACCTCAAGGAGGAGAAGATTACAATATATGGTACTATTTAGGACACGATCCTGTTCATGACGAATACAAAGTGCTTAGTTTCATTTGGAGGCACAACAGGGAGGAGTGGAAAGTGAGATCAGAACATCATGTGTTGGTACTTGGAGCTGGAGCTTCATGGAAAAAGACTCAATGCCACATTCACCATTTTCCTTATTGTCAAGGGATTACCATCAACGGTGTTTTGTATTACGGAGCTTGGACTGATGACAAGAAATGTGTGCTTATGAGTTTTGACTTGAGTTCTGAAGAGTTCAATTTGATTGAATTACCCTATAAAGTTGGCTACCTCCAGAGATCCCCTTGGCCAAGTCTCATGAACTACAGAGGAAAAATAGCTGTTTTTGACTATGTTACTATTTTTTCTGATTGTAGTGTGCGTGTTTGGGTAATTGAAGATGTCAACAAGTGTCAATGGTCATACAAGAAGACTTTTGTTTTGCCTACAGATTTCGCTCAGACATATGACTTTGTGATGGGTGGCACAGGTCACAGTGGCAAAGTTTGGCTTAGAAAGGAAAATCTCTCGTGGAATCAACCCTTACACTTTTTCATTTATGATTTGGTGGGTAATGAGATAACACGAAAGATTGAAATAAGTCCATCATTACTTGGTAGCTTTAAACAGACTGATTTGTTGTTGCCTACTCTCTGGGATGATACTGAGAGCATCATGTACTTGGAAACCTAAATATAGTTTGTCATTTTGTTTTTACATTCCAAATTATTAAATGGATTTTCAATAAACATGATCAGGACACATTCTTAAATTCTTTCAGCATTTTTCAACAGCCAGTCGAGTCCTTCATGTAAACCATCACCACAGAATGCACATGAGCTCTGGACATGCCTAGCAAGCGAAAAAAAAAAAAAAAGATAATGAGAAGAATCAATCCTATTTGCAGAATTAGAAAGGTTTTCTTATATCTTCTTAATTACCAGTTTCTCTGCCAATTTTTATTACGAAGAGAAGTGAGATCAAGCTTGTTACTGATCTCAGAAGCAGACATAGCACCAGGAACTTGATGCTTGTTTCCATATACAAGAACAGCCACATTGTCCGGGACACTCCCGTGTATCTGTTATATAACATTAAAATTATTTGACTTATTGCTCAATGTCTAAAAGACAGGTTTAAAAGTTTGTTACCTCATCAATCACCATGTTAAGAAAATCTTTGGCCTCTTCTATTCGATCTCTATCCGTGCTATCGACTACAAACACAAGCCCTGCTATTTCTTGTATGAAATGTTTCCATAGTGGAAACAACTGGAATGTTTTTCTTGGATCAGCTGGTATGATCTTAATGTTTCTAAAATTAGTAACTTTCTCTTTACCTTGTAACGCTGTTGGCCGCCCATTTCCCAAAAGCTTAAGGTTGAATCCTTGTATTTTATGCTTTCCACATCGAAACCTAGAAACAATGATCCATTTCTTAAGGAATTCATAGAGAACAATGGGTTGATTTGATTGCTTTACTTACCAATGGTTGGCATGTTTATGGTAAGGACTTGTCCTGTCTTGAGTTTGTGCATTATTGATGATTTTCCGGTAGCGTCAAGACCAAACAATACTATTCTCGGTTCGATTTCTTGGTAAAACCCGGAAAATGGCTTTCCCAAAGACATCCCCATTTTTTTCTGGTTTTTGCAACGAAGTTGACTTTGGAATTCACAAGGAGAGGCCTTAAGAGAGAGAGTTTCAAAGTCATGTGGTTAAAGCTTAAGAGTTGTCTAGTCTGTTTTAAGATCCGAGGAATCATAATCAAAGTCAACTGGTTGACTTTTGAATCATTTAGTTCGATTCATATTTGTAGAGTTTTTATATGCAATTTAGCAATTAGTTGCAGTTTTTTTAGCCTATTGAATTCAGTTGGGCCAAAAGCTGAGAACAAGCCCAATTACAAATGGAATTCATTTTCCTCGTAAGAAAGAGAGAGCAAGGGTTTACACAATATGCAGCAGCGTAGCTTGTGAGAGCCGCAACATACAAACAGAGAGAACAAGTTGGAGATGAAACCTTTTAAGAGAAACGAAATGTTCGAGCTCTGTTTTTCTTAGTGTGTGTTTCTTTGTCTTGTACTCTAGCTCCTTCTCTATTCTTCTGTGAACAAATATGGGCTCGTCTTTATGTGTTGCCGTGAGGAAAAAGAAAAAGAAGAAGAAGACCGTTGTGGTCTTACCAGAGATCCCTGAAGAACTTTTGATCGATATTCTAATCAGATTGCCGACGAAATCTCTGATGAGATTTAAGTGCGTCTCAAAGCTCTGGCTTTCTCTTATCACCTCTCGATACTTCACCAACCGTTTCCTTAAACCCTCATCACCAAGTTGTTTGTTCGCGTATTTTGTGGACAGGGAAAATCAGAGCAACTATGTGTTGCTCAAATCATCATTATTTTCATCGAGCCATGATCGCTCGGACATATCTGTCTCTGTAATCGACCAACATTCGACCATACCGATAATGGGAGGCTACTTAGTGAACGCTGCTCGTGGTTTGTTGTGTTACAGAACTGGGAGAAGAGTGATAGTTTGTAACCCTAACACAAGGCAGGTTGTGGAATTGCCCATAATGAGATCTAAGACTAATGTGTGGAATTGGTTTGGACATGATCCTCTTCATGATGAATACAAAGTGCTTAGCTTATTTTGGGACGTCAACAAGGAACAGAGAGTTGTGAGATCAGAACTTCAAGTGTTGGTACTTGGTGTTGGATCTTCATGGAGAACCACTCAAAGCCACCACACTCCTCATCGTCCTTTTCGTCCATACTCGAAAGGGATGACTATTAACGGTGTTTTGTATTATATAGCTTGGACTGATGCAAATAGATGTGTGCTTATGAGTTTTGACTTGAGTTCTGACGATTTCAATTTGATTGAATTACCCTATGAGAACTTGTCATGCACCAGTTTGATGAACTACCAAGGAAATGTTGCTACTATTGAAAATACGCTTCTTTCAAGTGATGGCATTGTGGATGTTTGTGTTCTTGAAGATGCCGACAAGAATCAGTGGTCAAACAAGAAGACTTTTGTTTTGCCTGTTTCTAAGATGAATTTCGTCCATGGAGACCGGTTGGTGATGGGTGGCTCTAGAGACAGTGGTAAGGTTTTGTTGACAAAGGCAAATCTCATACGGGATCAACCCGCACGCTTTTTCATTTATGATTTGGAGAGGAATGAAATAACACGAAGGATTGAAATAAGACCATCATTACTTGGTAGCTTTAACAAGACCAATCATTTTGTCAGATTTTTTTGGCAACATATTGATAGCATCATGTATTTGAAAACCTAAAACATTGATAGACTCAATGCCACATTCCTCATCTTCCTTTTCAATCATATACACGAGGTAGCTGTTTTTGACCATTGGAGACTATGGAATGTTTTGAGTGATATATATTAGTGTGGATTTTTGGGTTCTTGAAGATGCTGGCAAGAGTCAATGGTCGGACAAGAAGACTATAGATTTGCATGTTTGTAAGATGAATTTAACCTTTAATGGTTATCGGTTGATGATGGGTGGCACTAGTCACAGTGAAAAGGTTTGGTTGATAAATGCACATCTCAGTCCAAATCAACCCGCACGCTTTCTCGTTTATGGTTTGGCGAGGAATGCAATAACTCGAAGTAAGGATTGAAATAAGGCCATCATTACTTGTAGTTTTAAGAAGAGATTTTGGTTGTGGTCAACTGTTTAGGGTGATATTGAGAGCATCATGTATTTGGAAACCTATATATAGAGCGTACTGTTATCATATTATACATTCCAAATTAAGTGGATATATGTATAGACAAGCACACATTACAAAGTGTAATGGACAATTTTTGTCTCTAAACTTGAGTTGAAGAGTGGAGCTTCATCCTTCGAAGAGAAAGGTAGGCTAAGAGACGGTAGCCTATAATCATAGCTACAAGAGCGCTCACTTCCTTAAGCCCACTCTCAATTTCTTCCCCGTTTACGTTGTGCATGATTTCTTCATACTGTACCTTCACAAGGAGCTTGTATGTGTGGTAGTTGAAGGACATGAAACGTATCCAAGCAATAAAATTTGGAACTTTCTGCCATAGAAAACAGTGTGTCAATCATTGCATTAGAGCTGCAAAACTCCTCTATGTATCAATGACAAGGCTTAATTAGAGGCATACTTCTCTAGAACATTCTCATTATAAGAACAATGAACTATGTTGTCCAAGCCTGTTTATAATATTTACCTTCACGAAGTAGCCACCAGCGAGCATAAAAGTCATTACAGTTACTGATGCTAAAGTTGTGGCCTTCTTCAGGTCCATTAAGCTCGCCCCTATTGCTAATCCAAGTCCCTAAAACAACATTGTCATTATTAGTTGTTAGCATTTTCTGTTCAACATGTCTTTTTGTTTTTATGTACATACCTGAGCTGCAACAATGCATAGGAAGACCGTGAGCACACTTAGGAAAAAAGATTCAGCTCTTAATCTCAATCCAGCCATGAAATATACAACAACTAGGAAAATCACAGGTAATATCAAGTCAAGTGGCAGGTCGCTTGTGGTTCTAGCCACAAAATATGCACTTAATCTGTACATATTTGACTCTCGTTCCTTGTTCAGCATTGCTCTCTCTTGAGGAAATGTGAAGATCGCCGTGAATACCGGAAAGAATCCCCAGAATACGGCAATAAAGAAGAGTAGCCCTACCTGAGATGCAGAGAGAGTTCCAACCTTTAAGGCAATAGACAACCAATTACAACTAATTCTAGACCATAAACATGTATCTATTATACCTGATCTTGTAGGCCTTTGGGATGTTGAATGTCTGATTGCCACCAGAGTAAACCTAAGATGATAGCAGTGGAGAGAACTTGAGTGACTCTTAACCAGCTGAAATAGTCATGTCTCCGTTCTTTGATTCCTCTTAAGGAAAGTAAACAACACTGTTCCCACCAGCTTAATCCCCATTCACGTTTGGGGCAAGTTACCATCAATTTAACTTCTTCATCAAGAGGAACTGGGGCCATAAGTTTCATCTTTTCCATGACTGCAATCTGTGTCTTGTAAGCTTCCTCAAGATACTGTGTTTCAACATCACAGTTAACATTTATCACTTATAGCTCTATACGACTTCTTGATATGTAAAGGTATCTCATCTTTGTCTCACCTCATATACAACTGTAGGACTTGGCTTGGAAGATCCCATCTCGCTGCAAGAGTTTCCCATCTTCATTTTCTCTTTAAGAGCTGAGGGTATGGAAATATCGTTCATGTTTCCATTAGCTAAGTCCAGTAAGAACTCTGCCGGGTTCATGGCGAGTAGAGGAGAACATCCTATGGAAGAGAAATAAGACATTGCTTCTGATGCTTTCCCAAAGTAAAGCAAGCTTCCTCTGCTGAGTACAACCAGCTTGTCAAATCTATGGAAGAGCCTACTAGACGGTTGGTGGATTGTTGTTACAATAGTTTTTCCCGCCTGCATGCCAACGAATAAGAACTTGGATATGGTAAAATCCAGACCAAATAAGGATTTGAAGCTGTAAAGAGTGGATTTCTTACCTTTGCTATACTTTGTAGCATCTGAACAATCTTAAGAGCGGTAGTAGAGTCCAAACTAGAGGTGGGTTCATCAAGGAGAAGAAGTGAAGGATTAGTCATGATCTCATTCCCAATACAAACCCTTTTCCTCTCCCCACCTGAGACACCGCGTACAAATGACCCTCCAATCATTGTGTCTTGGCACCTAATAGGTTCCATTCTTAAGATTTAGATTTACCATAAGAGGAAGTTCCTAAGTTGTTAGACGGGTAGTAGTAGATGATAATGTACCTTTCCAATCCAAGCTCTTGAATCACACTAACAGCTCTTTGTTCCTTCTCCTGCTTTGTGAGAGTTTTAGGAAGACGTAAAAGAGCTGTGTAGGTCAGCGTCTCTTTTACAGTTAAGTGAGGAAACAGAACATCATCTTGAGTCACAAAACCGATCCTGCCATGGTGCTTTCCCGTGTCAACTTTACACTTATATATGCATCTACATATTCATCAAGAGACCAAGCTGGAATCTTCTTATTACCTGGTTTTCAAGTGCTTAGAATATGGCTTATCATTATAGCTAACCAACCCACCGATGTTTTGCTGATTAAATCTGCCACCGAGCGCATTAAGTAGTGTAGTTTTGCCACTTCCAGAAGGTCCCATGAGAGCTAGAAGCTCCCCTGGATATGCTGAACCACTAATTCCATTCAAGATGCTCTTTTCTGATGAAGATGTCATTCCTTTGGTCGTTACCTTGTATGTGATATCTATGAACTGCATAGCACATAAAAATAATTGATTTGGTCACTAAGTTTTACTGGTAAATGTTCCTATATGACAAAATTTTCAAGAAAACCATTATTTTCCCAGAGAAATATGACTAGAATTCTCTCTGATTTATACAAGACAATACCAATATAACCATACCCTTTTGGTCCAGCGTGAAGCTCTGCTTCACATGTTGCCGATAACCAGTAAATGGTAGTTGAGCCTCCTAAGCTTGACATTTGGGTACCAAAGTTAGACCAACAAAGAAGGCAAACAGAGGTTTCCAAATGTCTTAATGCAATGATGAAGATTATTCTACTTGTAAAATTTATGGATTTCTTCTTGTTTAGGAAACATCATATGACAACAGACCCATTGAAGTTTGGATTGACCAATGGCAGCAAAATTTTATATATTTCTATGGACTTTTGGGAGTTGATGGTTTAATTACATAAACTCCATCAGTGCCTGCGCTCAAATAGAGATATCATAAAGATCAATTTCCCATGTTTCCCATAAAATCATCTATCCACGGAGATGGGTTACCTTAAGATATATCGGAAAGGTTGGTTCTGCCTGAAACTTGACCACAGTACTAGTTGCTGCTTCAATATCTTCCACTGCAACATGAATGATAACAGAACAAGAACCCAATAAACTTCAAAGTTAACATCAAGACTTCAATCAGGTGCCGTGTGTAATGGTTTTCTTACAGATATCGTCATTGCTACATCGCTCTGAAGCAATAATCTCTTCATGTGGCACGGTGAAGCCAGTGAAAGAGAAGGAAAGTCCAAGGGAAGCACTGGAGGCTCGGCTAAGAGCAGCACCACCAGTGAGACTACCAAGGTCAAGAGCAGGGTGTGCACTCTTGGCCTTCCTTATGTGTGTGTTCCTTCTGTTTTTGTGGCTGCCACTGTGGCTCGGCGATGATAATGTCTTTGCCCTCACATGCTGCTTGTTCCCATGGCTGCTACCGTCATCGTTGCTAAAATCAAGTGAAGTAGACTTAAGAGCTTCTGCAAGTGTCTCAGATTTGGCCTTGACCAAGCCTGATGATGATGATGAGGTTCCCATTTCCATATTGTTTCTGTACGTTTCAGAATCAAAAGGTCAAAAGAATTGATTTTTTGTTGAACCATTAATTGAGTGAACTAGACTCATTAAAAGGGTTACAAGTTACCTTGTGTTTAGGTATTGGGAAGCTTCCTGTTGTGTTGTGCTGTTTTGTTAGGAGCTTGGACACACACATCACCTATTTATAGAGTTGGGAATGGGAGAGTAAGTTAGACGAATGTACGGTAATATACCCTCCAAAATGGATTGATTTACATGCTAAACCCTTTGGCCTTAGACACGTGATAGACATGAGAGCAAGACCTACGAGCTAATATCTGGCTCATGCATTTTACAGATACATGTTTAACTTTAAAGAGGAAATTGGTCTTATCTCCCTATCTTCTTTGATATAGTTATTAGCAAAAGGCCAAAACTTGACTTTCGGTTCAACAAAGAGGGTAGGAGAAGAGCACGTGGATCTTGATTCTTTTAGACCAATAAAGATTTTTCTTTCTACTTGCTACCAAGCATTATACACTAAGCACATAGCTAACAAATATTGGTTTCGTGTAATTATTCAAGCAGTAACATGAACTCTATATTGACAAAAGATTAACAAAAGCCAAAAAAGAGGGTTTCAGTTTCTTACCACTTTGGTCTAGATTCCAACCCTTCTCGTGGACAAATGTTATATGTTGGTTTCTTAACTCTCACCAATCTAGCCAATAGCCATAGCCTTCAAAGCAAGTAAACTTTTGTTCCTATCCGAATACAAAGATGTTCATTCCCATCTGCAGATTACCAAAATCAGAGTTCCCATAGACAATCTCAAAGCACCAAACTACATGATTAATTTCCGACATGGGTTTCTTAGAAGCTGTATAAAATCACACACAATAAGCTGATTTTCAATAAACAGGTAAAAAGAAAAAAAAAACACAGCATACTACAGGACCTTATAGAGAGACTTAACGGGAAAAATCAGAAATAGCAATCGAGTATAGTAAGTAATCCTCTATGAACGGTACAGAATCAAAGACCTCACTCACCTTTGATAACCGCATACAAGTTCGTGAACTTTCTATGGTTGCGCAAAGCTCCATCAAGTAAGCTCTCACGCGCTACAATGTGTATGATGATTATTTTTTTGAAATAGATACAGAGTAATTGCAGAAATTAGCATTGTGTCTTGAAGAAGAAAGGTTTTGGTTTTGAGAGGTACTGGGATGTGTTTCTGGGTCGAGAAATTTTCTAAAACCCGGTTCAAGTTAAACCGAAGACATAACAACAAACCCACAGACTTATTGGGAAAAGGGGATTTTCATACCCGTACTATCTGCACCGTGGATTTTCATACCTGGACAATTTCGTAGGGTATTTTACAACCTAAACTTCAATAAAATTTGAATCTCATACCTATACTTGATACAACGTGCAAAAATCAGAGTCAATCTAACGGGTGTTAGTCAACTCCGTTACGGTGCTGAGTCATCGTACACGTGTACGCTGACGTGTATCAAAACGACGTCGTTTTCATACCCGTACTATCTGCGCCGTGGATTTTCATACCTGAACAATTTTGTAGGGTATTTTACAACCTAAACTTCAATAAAATTTGATTCTCATACCCTATACTTGATACAACGTGCAAAAATCGGAGTCAATCTAACGGGCGTTAGTCAACCCCGTTACGGTGCGTATCGAAACGACGTCGTTTTGATATGTGTTCTCAAAATTTTAAATTTTTTTGCAAAACTGGGGACTCGAACCCACGAGCTGTAGTCACATGGGAAGCACCGAATACCAACTGATCCCACAACATTCATCGAGTATTCCTCAATCTTTTTAACTTATAAACCCAAAAAGTTGTGCGAAGCCGTAGTCACATGGTAAAACTTTGTTCATGCCTAATTTCTAAGAAGAAGAAGAAGAAATGAGAAAACGATTTCTCAATTCGAAACCCTAGTATTCATAATTTTCTCCCAATTTAAAACGATTGACTACGGCTCGCGGGTTCAATGAATGTTGTGGGATCAGTTGGTATTCGGTGTTTCTCATGTGACTACGGCTCGCGGGTTCGAGTCCCCAATTTTGCAAAAAAATTTAAAACTTTGAGAACACATATCAAAACGACGTCGTTTCGATACGCACCGTAACGGAGTTGACTAACAGCCGTTAGATTGACTCCGATTTTTGCACGTTGTATCAAGTATAGGGTATGAGATTCAAATTTTATTGAAGTTTAGGTTGTAAAATACCCTACAAAATTGTTCAGGTATAAAAATCCACGGCGCAGATAGTACGGGTATGAAAACGACGTCGTTTTGATACACGTCAGCGTACACGTGTACGATGACTCAGCCCCGTAACGGAGTTGACTAACACCCGTTAGATTGACTCCGATTTTTGCACGTTGTATCAAGTATAGGTATGAGATTCAAATTTTATTGAAGTTTAGGTTGTAAAATACCCTACGAAATTGTCCAGGTATGAAAATCCACGGTGCAGATAGTACGGGTATGAAAATCCCCTTTTCCCCAGACTTATTAACCAAATTTGCATACCAGAGTTGGTTTACATTTGTCTTTGTTTTACCTTTGCACTGAATTGGTCAACTGATGATACCCAAAAAGTCAATAAAAACATCACATTTTTACTATGTTGAATACTTGTTAGCTAAGAGAGGAAATGCAACAATGACGAGTCAGAGCCTTCTTCATTCCTTGACAACGATAAAATTGATGAGATCTTTTCACTCTCATTATTCACTGTAGAACGAAACGAAACAATTTATGAAATTGATAACTAAAACCAAATGGGTTTATCTTCCTTGAAATGAAGATCTCAACACTGCTTAAGTGAATGGTGTACTTATTATTGTTATGATTGGCTCACAAAATCACAGTAAGAGAACAGAGAAAGAGACAGAGAGTTTTCTTTTCCAGGCCGGAGATGGAGAAACATGATCAGTATCCCCAGTTGTCATTACGGATTTCGTCATCAAACTTCTTTTTGAGTTCTGGGTGCTTCTCAAAGTACTCATCTGCAGTCATGGTGCTGAGCTTTTTCTGATTTACACCAACACATATAAACAACCATGGTCATTATATCAGAATCTTGAGTTCAACAAAATACAGCGACTCGACAAACTTCATAGAAGAGGATTTCTTTTAAAGGGTACTTACGCTAATCTCTTGGACATCAGCAATTTCTTTCTCCAACCGTTCAGACTCCTTGAGCGATTTCTGTTCTGCTTCTTTCAGTTCCACCAACTAGATATAGCATGGAAACATGGCACAAGAGAAAAAAACTAAGTCAACTGAAAAGACCTTGTCAAAATTGTAAATAATCGAGTGTCTCAGCTATTACTCACCAAAGCATCAAACTTTGGCTTGTATTCAGGAGTAACTTTATCAACGTACTTTGGAATCTCAATGCCTGCAGCAAACAAAACACAGCAATAAGAGATGCAGTTGAGTTTCTTATAATCTACTTTGATATATCTCCACAATCAAATAGGAAAATAACAAGTATGGGAACTTTCAGCTTCAGCCCTCTTATTAAGCACATCTCTCTTAAAACATTTTAGTCAGGATTGGGCCGAAGAAAGGCAAGCAGAAGACATCCACTAAATAGAGAGTTGCACAAACACTCACAAGTTTCATTAGAAGACAGGCTAAAATTGCAGAGAAAATAATAAAACTTACTGTCATAAGCTTCCTTGTACTTGTCAACAATGCCAGCTCCAATACCCTTCCTGTAGTAATCCCAATCTATGGGTTCAGGTTCCTGGATTTAAAATCAACCAAAAACAACAATCACTCCACAACCCAAGACATAAAACAAGAATTAGTGCATGAAAGATCTCTTTGGAATTGGAATTTAGTGAACTAATCATAGTACACATGGACACAATTCCACATTTCAAATGAATCAATAAACAAAGATCAATCACAATGTTCTCTGATTAAACACGTCTTAAGGAAATAGATCTTAACATATATCTGGATCAATCAACTATGAGAACAACAACATCAACAAAAAAGAAGGGAAAAAAAAACGAGTGTCACCAACAAAAATCTGATAATCGTAAAAATTCGTGATGAATCACCTGATCCAGAAATCGAAATGATAAAGATCTAAAAAGTCTAAACCCAGCAACAGTGAGAAAATCAGATCAAGAGAGGGGGAAATCGAAAAGAGAACCTGACTAAATTTGGTCTGGAGCTGCGTGTTAACCTCATCGAAAGCACGACGAAGGTTAGAGAACTCTCTACGAGCCTCATCGGTGACAAGGACCTTAGCCATACCATCCCAATCGATAGTCCTTGAAGCTTTGAAAGCCACATCCGCGATTTTCTTACCGGCTCCGCTCATTTCTCTCGATCTTCGTTCACAAATTTTACCCCAAAATACACACTGACGAATGCGAAGAAGAAGAAGAAGAAGAAGATGTAAAAACGTCGTCTGATCTGACCAATGAAGGAAAGCCCTAAAATCCCTAAAAGGCTCTGAAAGCCTTTTATTTCTCATTATTTCTAAATTAACCCCTTTATTATTTAATTGATCTAAAAACCGCCATTAAGTTTCAATACTGGTTTTATGTTTTAGATTACTTTTAGGTTTTAGCAACAAATCTGTAAGGAACTCAGATATCATTTAGCAAATCATCAATCTTGCTTATATTTGTCTCTTCATCAATACAAATATGTTAACCAATTAAAAAAAAATCAAACAAATAATTAAGTTTGTAGTAGTCAAAAAAACAAATACATAACAGAATCTTCTCTGAATTCACCTCTGCACCAGACTTTTGCCTAATCAACAATGTCATATATAAACTATATATCCATTCCTCTGAAAGTCTTCTGCTTAAGCAAGATTAGTATCTTTCTTAGTAACATTGCTCTCCAGCTTCGGTGGACCTGAAAACCGTCTTACAGTCTTAGGAGATCCCGAGAAGGAAAGCCGCTTTTTCGCTGTCTTCTCTGAGCTTAGAGGACTAAGGTTTGAGAATCGAGCTCTTGCTTTGGCGGCTTGTGTAGGCGCCATGTAGCCTGGAACTGACTGAGAGAAACTACTGGTGAAGCTTTCATCGTCTCTAGTTGATGGAATTGATCCACAAGTGCTATGCCTACGGTTGCAAGGTTGTTCTGATTGGATACTCAATA